TTTTTATACTTTATTTGAAAATTCCAGGGAAAATACTACCTGGGCTACTTTTGAACTTACGTTTTCTTTTGTTAGATTCACACTTCAGTTTAAGTAGTCTGACACTGATGACGGTAGCTCTCTGGAAAAGAAGGGTGTCAGTACTTAGAGTTATAAATGCTGCTACCTGCAACCATTTTAAAACTCAATGCTTTTTTTCTATATTTTCATATCTCAGTGATATATTACTCACCTCCACACGGGACTTTGGGATTTGCCCCCTTTAGTAACCTGAGAACCAGTGATTCAGCTGATTAAACAGAAAATTAGCCAACTTTTGATTTTAATGTTGTAATTGTAGAATAAATACTTTGAATTTGTTGAAAATAAAGTTTGATTAATTTAAAATACAGTCATATATTATCAGAGATTCATTAATAGTAACAGCGTGGTGTCTCAGTTACTGTGTATAGAAGATAAACATGATTACCTCTGGAAAGGAGGTCATGTTTTTAATAGGGTGTGTGTGCATGTGTGCCGTTCTGTAAACATGATAGCTTGAAAGGTTTTGAGTGACTTCTGATAAAACCCTGTTGGAGTGTAGAACTGACAAACATCCTCATAACTTAGAGCAGTGTTTCCCAACCACTGTGCCACAGCACATAAGTGTGCCATGAGAAATGATCAGGTGTGCCGTGGAAGATTATCTGGTTCCACCTGATTAGTACTCGAAGCGTCCGGCATGAGTCACGGGCAGAACAATTACATTCTCTTCCACTAGAGGGCAGTACAACTATGCGCTCTAATTAAATGAGTTGCCAACTGCCAGTAAAACAGAAGAAGACCAAGAAGAAATTACATAATAGTCATGCTGTGAGCGAGACCACGCAGGGCGTAATAGCAATAAATAAATATTTAAAAAGAAAAAGTAGTCAATCTGACTTGGGTCCTGGAGAAAATTCCGACCCAGATGATGCCCCTAGCATGAGTAGTGGTCAGAAGAAAGCAAAAAAAGTGTACTGGGGACAAACCGAACCCTTTCCGCTATGCCATGTGCACGGGCAAAAATTATCAATATGCTTTTTGTGACATTTTTCTTTGGTGGTGTGCTGTGTGATTTTTTTTTATTTTTTATTTATTTATGTGAAATATGTGCCGTGGAGTGTAAAAGTGCTAGAGTGTAAAATTCTTACATACATGTTGCATATTATCAACACATAGAAAGCACCATATAAAAATGTAAAACACCATGTCACATTTGACCTGTGACTTCTCCTTCAATAGACTGAGACAGGTGACAGCACAGATGTGGCATCAGTTAATCCTGATGGCCACATTCAAACACATCTACAGATGTAAACAGGAGCTCTGCTTTATCATAAACTCCTTGTGTTTAGAGTGAAAACACAAGATGTTTGTCAGCAGGAACACTAACTGTAGTCCATGCACTTGTACAATGCGCTTTACAGATTTCAGTACACTGTTACATTTGATGTCAGGCTCATAAAATAATAATTAACTTAGAACTTAAAAGTTGGCAGTACTGATGTGATATTTAGACCTGCATAATTCAGTTTTTCATCAACATATGACAGGATATTAAAATATTATAACAATTATTATCTTGATAATTCTCTGTGGTCCTGCTCCTTCACGTGGATTAATTTGGATTTTCTTTCTCTTTCACCTCTTCTTTTACAACAGTTGCTCAAACACACAGATAAAGGTCAGAGGAAGCTCAACCAGTGACGTTGTCTGTGGGAGAACATCAAGTCAACATTACTTTGTGTTTTTACCTTT